GTGTTTAGAGGAAATAACTTGAGTTGGAAAACTTTCTAATAAAAATATTCAGACATTTTTCATTTCTCTTTGAAGCCTGAAAGAAGCTACTAATTTGGAATATTAGGTAAATTTGTTAGCTTCAAAATTATTTCTAGTGTCTTACTTGTGATACTGCCAGTTGATCTTCCAATGCATTCTTCCGTGCATTAATAGAATCTAACTGTTGCTGTAAAGTCTCCATTTGCTGTTGCAATTGTTCATTTGTAATTTGTAATTCTGAGTAACGCTCTCGGTGTGGGGGACTCATGGCTTGCAGTAAATTGTCTGTCATGTGGCGTTCCTGGGAAATGAAATTTTTTACTTACAACGTTTTCCTTGAACATTGGAATCCATCAAATTCATGAAGAAGGAAGAACTATACAGACTTGTTCGATTTCCATTTCCAGCCTTTGAATATGTTTCTCGCTTTGTTTGCATTGTGCAAACAATTGTTCCAGATGCTGAGATTCTTGTTTGTTTCGTGTGTGTAATTCCTGACACTCAGCATCCACTTCACCCTTTTCTGTGTCTGTATTTATTTTGTCAAGCACCACATTAACGTCAGCTAACTGGCCTTGAAGTTCTAAAAGAGAAAAAAATGTATTTTACAAATATATTTTATACGTAAGAAAAAGTACTACTTTATTAAAAAGTGTAGTAGTGCACTCTTACGGAGAAATATAATCAATTAATTTAATGATGGTAATAAGAAGATTTTTCTAGATTTGTTAGAAAATAGAGGGAAAAAGTTGATAAAATATTATTAAATGAAATTACTCTGCAACACATTTGAACTTTTTTCTGTGGAAGAGAGGAAAATACGTTAATTTGGTATTTTTAGATGTGGTGAACTCGAAAATCATCACGCGTTTAGTCAGATATGGTCTGATTTTCTTGTAATTTTTAGTCATAAAGTACAAATTCTGTTTTTCCTCTACCATATAGTATTTAGGATTTATATCCTTAGAAAGCTTTCTAATGGCTTCCCTTTTGCTTTAGATCTATGAGTACTGTCCAGGAATAGTGAACAAGCATGAATATATTCCAGATTGCATGTATCATTTTTCAATCCCTCAAATAGTTTGATGAAAGCAATCATCATGTTCATTATTATAAAATGAAATATTTTCTCTTGGATCTGTTTAGAAAAAAGTGTGAACAAACCAGTGAGTTCTGATGCTTTCTCCTTTACTCGTTTGTCGTAAACTAAAAATACAGCTTGCTCTTGCTGTTGGATTTCTATTTCTTTCCCCAAGCGTGTGATTTCATTCGATAAATCTCGGATTTTGGTTTGCAGCAACCCTTCGAAGTACCTCTTATCCTGCACCTGCCGCATTTGAGGGCCTCGTGTGTTAGAGCGCATGCCACTCAAACCTTGTTGGGTGATGGGTCTGTCGACAACGTTGACCTGCAAATCGCAAAGGAGAATTTTGTAAGATCGTTACCCAATGAAGAACATATTATTGAACTCGGTTTGTGCACGAAAGGAAATCAGTAGCAGCATTTTCTGTGCTTCGATGTATCACCTGAGTGCCAGCAAAGCTAATGGTAGTTCCAACCCGTGACACTGGAGATTGTCTCATTGCAGACGTCAGACGGGAAGCAGTTCCTGGAAGTACAGATCCGCGGGAAGCGAACACAGATGCAGAGAGAGTCCGGTTGGACGATCGACCTGAGGCTCCAGAGCGACTGTCTGAAGTACCTGAACGACTCTGTTGCGTGTAAGGTCGCTCGTGCATGTTTTGGCCCTGAATGACATTTCATTTTTTTAAATACAGCACCTATGTAAATGTTTTAATATATTTTTTATATTATTCGATTTTTACCTGACTTAAAGCAATCGCACGTCTAGAAACTTGTCTATTTTCTCGTTTTGCAGGGGGCGTTTGTTCACCAATAGAGAAACCTGGACTTTCATTTCCAGCAGATTCTCCGTCGTCCTTCTTCCATTGCGTGTGCGGCTCTTGCTCGTCTTTGCCCATGTTCATGTCTGATTGATTAAAACATTCGTCTTTTACAAACACAAAAGAGCACAATAAGCATTCAAGTTTTGAGATGTTTGGAGGCTCGTGATCGATTTGAAGAGTTGATCATATTTCACAATTCATTATTTAATATGGTAAGTGTTTTAAAGTTATAATAATAATAATAATAATAATAATAATAATAATAATAATAATAATAATAATAAAGAAATTTACCTTTCTTTAATTTATTTTCAATGTTTCCAATGTTTTAATAGTGTAAATTAAGACGTTTTATTTTAATTTCGGTCGTTCTGAACTTTCTTGCTCTACCTCACGAACATGAGAAGGATAAATGGAATGTTATTATATTACTTACACGAAAGAAATTGTACGTGAAATGTTTACTCTGTGAATGTTTTTTACAGCTCTTTGGTTTCTCATAGGCGTGCGATGTACAATCAAAATTGGTCGTGCCAGCGCCCTCTTGATGGCGTTGGTCGTGTTTTCGAATACGTACGTATAGGCGGAGCAATGAACGTAGTGTAGAAAAAGATTTGTAATGCTGCAGGAAATCGATTTCGAGATTTCAACGGAAATATACGTTTTGGGGTCCTCTGATACCGAAAAAGTATTGCTTTTTTCAGAACTCCATCCATCTGTGAGCAACTCTAGAACCTAAACTATTAGTAGGATTTTTTCCCAAAATTCATACTCTCCGGTCGATCTCGCCCTGCATGAAGCTCGCTCTATGATTTTTTAAAAACTTTCTTTAAATTTTGTTAGCACTTAAAATGTGCCCCCTAAGACATTTTCAAAAATTGCCCCAAATTAGTTTTTTAAATTTATTGTAAGAAAATAGTAATGTGTAGTGAAAGAGAATTGTTTTTAGAAAGCGAAGAATTGTTGTAATTTGCATATTGCTTCACACTTTAAAACATGTTGTTAAGGTGAAACACTTTCAATTTATTTTCCAATGTATGTTTTGTTTTATCGTAGTATGTAGTCGGAATTCACATTTCGTGAACCTTGATTTTTTTGCAGCAAACATATGTCCGTCTATTCTTCTATGTGTGGAGAACGCTCGAGGCTAAACCGTAGTTTGGTTTTCCACCAAAATTGATATTCTTCAATTGATCTGACTAATGTCGCGGTTCCTTGAATTTGAAAAGGAAATTTTTATTTTAGAGGGGCACTTTTTGTAAAGCCCGAATAATAATTACAAAGTTTTCTCATAAATGCTCCACATTTTTTCTTTATTTTATATTGAATAGTGTAATGTTCACTTATGGCACTGGCACACATCCATTTTCTATGAATTCTTTGAATTATCGTAACTGCAGAAGCTTAAATTTTTCGGCATCTTCCTACAACTGCAAGATTAAAGATAGAGATTTTTCGGCAATACTATCTGTTCTTCAAAAATATATGTTTAATAAGAACATGTATACTTTTTCCAATTTTTTTTTAGTTTTGGCGTAATTTTAAGTGCAATAGAAGTATTTAAAAATGATTTTCTCAAAAACAGGTCCAAATTTTTTGTTTATTTTCTTTGGATAATGTGAAAGTACCAAGAAAACTACAATCATTAATACGGTTCATGTTGGTGGGTACCAAGGTCAAGGTTAGGACAAACCAGCAAATAAGTGAAGACTTCTATACCAAATGTGGAGTACGTCAGGGAGATCCATTATCAGCGACATTGTTCATCATGATCATGGTTAAAATATTAACACACGTCGATATAAAAGGGAATATATCAACACTATTGAAACAATTCCTAGCCTACGCAGGTGATGTCTTGCACGTACTATGAAGTCGCTTGAACAATTCTTCCGGGCGTTACATGAGAACTCAATTCATTATGGGTTAAAATCAATGTTCAAAAACAAAGAACATGAGATGTAAGGCCAAAGGTACCCAATTAACTCCAAATCACATTATCAAAACAGCCTATGAAGAAGTAAGCTCTTATAAATGTCTGGGATCCAGTTTTACATGCAAAAACGATGTGGGTAAAATAAAAACAAGATTTGTTGCGGGAAAAAGATAATATTTTGTACATTTACAGCTATTTAAAAGTATAATGTTATCAAAGGACGAAAAACTAAGACTACGAGACAGTGATTAGACCAATTACGATGCCGCAGAAATGTGGACTATAAAAGAATAGGATGAGCAGCGTCTGGCGGTTTTTGAAAGACGGACTATAAAGACGGAGAATATTTATGCTCAATGGAGATTGGTGGATTAGGAACAATTCCGAACTGGGCAGTATACAAAAACATAAAAACATTGCATTTTATCAAAGCCACGATATTAAGTTGGCTTGGTCATCATAGTCAACAAGATCTTTAGCTGTAATCCAGAACACGAACAACGAAGGTTACAACACGGTGTAGTATCGATTCCGGGATCCAGCTATTACTATTTAATAAAACACAACCAGGTGTTAATTAAATTTTATTAACAATAATAATTATCTGTGTAACTACTATTAAAATATGATTGATGAAATAATACAATTGAAGTAAAGTAATAGAATGTGACAATGAAACAATATATTAAATGAATTATATTAATGAAATATATTAATTATTATTAATGAATATATATATATATATATATATATATATATATATTATATTATGAAAAATATAAATTTGTTAAACATCAACAATATTTATGAACACTAATCAACGAAATTGTAACGTATTCAAGGAAACACATCACACAACGCGATCCAGACAGGAAAAGATTGTTTTCGAGATGCTAAACATGTAATTTGAACTAAGAGGTTTGGTTTGAACGAAGCGGTAGTTGGAGGCATGGTTTGAGGTAGAATTCAAACACGATATGGACTTCTGTAAAATTAATAATACTGTAATAACTACATTAATAGTCAAGGCAAAAGACAAAAAATTGAAAAATACAACAAAAATGCCAGAATATTCACTTTTTAATCGAAAGTATTCATTTCATTCGATTCCGGGCATTTGGAATCGATTCCATCAAGAATCGGAAACAAATAAATCGAAACCGGTTTCACAGAAATCGAAAGAAAAGAATCGATTTTGGAATCGAATCGTTAGAATCGGAACGTCCCTACTTGTGTGCTGTTGTGTACCTGGGTTCAGATTAGGTTGGGTTTAGATTAATAATACTGCTATGCGCGTTGTTCGTCGATTGCGGTGCTAACGAATGCGTTTGATACATTGCGGTACCGGAAAGAAGAATACGGAAGTAGTAACAGTGTTATCAATGAATTGAGAGATTGAAATTTTCCATTTCGCTGGGCATGGCTTGCTGGCAGGTGTTACGCGGGTATTTTGAATGTATTTGAATTTTTTAAACAATATCGCCTTAAACTAATTGCATTAAATATTTCCATGCAATATTATTCGTAAATCAAATGATAAAAGTATTAAACTCTGGTCAATTTATCCGTTGCGTTGTCCATAAAAGTCGTGTTTACTCATCATTTAATATGCCAAAGAAGCAAAATAAAGGACAAAAGCCAAGTGGCGTAAGTAATAGATTTCGTATTTGTTATCAGTTGACTTTTTGTAGTATATTGCTGCAGAGTGTGTACCAGAATACACTATCTATCCAACTTGAACAAAAACTTCAATTTTTGTATAAAATAATTTTCATTCATTATTCCAAGTTGAAATGATATTGTATTTAATTTCCTGTTTTGCAAGTAAATATAAACAGGCTCAACAGGCCTCTCGTCTATTCAACTAACTGCAAGTATTTGCCAAAATGTTTCCCAAATATTGTTTAGCTGGTTGTTGTTTTTAATATTAATTTTTTAATGAATCAATAATAGATTTTTCAAGTTTTACAGCCTAATTTTAAAAACCATTCATAACACCATGGAAGAAAACCAAAACTTGTTCTTTGATGCCTGACAGTCTAAATCTCATCCAAACATATTAAGAGTTGATGTGATATGAAAATAACCTAAGTGATATTATTAAAGAAAGAAGGTTCACCCAAGAGGATATTTATTAAGTGATCTTATTGAAAATCTGTTTCTTACCTAAATCAAAATTTTGAATGAAGTAATTGTTTAATTCAATTTTTTCATCACCTGATTGCTTTCAGAATAGAAAATATATAAATATTATTCTCAAAAAAATAAAAAAAATAAAAAAAAGAAAACAGAAAAAAATTGTAGATTCAAAATAACTGAAATTAACTAATAGATACTTAATTTGATTATATTGACAAGTAAGAAAACAATGGTCAATTTCTGTTGGTCTTTATCTGTTCAATGTGTTGCCAAAAGGGCCTACATTTCACAAAAAAATTTAGCAATTTCCTTTTTTAATAGATACAGTAGTAGTTAATAGAATGTATGGTTCTAAACTTCTAATGCCATGAGGATTATGTTTTTTAACAACTCTTTTATGTTAGTGCTATGAATAACACAATGTATTGTTTGTAATTGTTTGTTTTATGTCCTTGAAATGACCACCAATTGTTTTGAGAGGTTATTTCGAGAAGGATTTCATTTTTTTCTGTGAATTTGCAGTCATGGCATAGTATTACAATATCGCATTTTATAAAACTAATCAACACATATTAATTTCAATGAAGTCGGTTGTGAAATTGTGTAAATTTCCTCGAAGACACCAAGGGTATATAATTACAAGATAGAATTCATAACATTCTAATGTACTATTCAAGTCATCAAAGAAAATAATGAACTCGTCTGACTCTGGAACTAGCAATGAATACATCTGGGATATACTCTCATTTGTAATCTGATGCTTAATGTTAATCACAGAGTTTCATGTTTTCTTCTAATTAAATAAAAGATAGAAAATGTGTTGTAACCTAAAAACCCTTCCTGTAAATATAGTTTGAAAGTGATGTGTGGAGAATGAAAAAAAATGTTTTGGTAATGGGTCTGAACCAGTAAAAAGAGTAACAAATTTTTCAAATTAGCTACCTGTTCCCAGTTGTACACATTGCTGGTGGACCAGCCAAATCAATTCTTTTTATTGTAGTTATAACATCAGATTTATGTATTCTGTTTATCACCCACTTAGGACTTAAGTGATTATTTTAACTGAATTTTTTGAGATCTTATTCCTTAAAAACATTAATGCAGTGATATTTTATGGCACATTAAAAAAAAAAATGTTTTACTAATATTAATTTTGTCTTTCTCACTGTGAAATTGGAGAACTGACATAATAGAATCAAGCACACAATCATTGCTTTTATTTCTGATTTTTTTTATTTCATGTGAAATAGTGTATAAATCTTGTCAGAGAGAGGGAAAAAAATGCATTCTAAGGCATGATTGTAGCTACCCTTTTGTAATAAGCTTGTTCTTAAATTTTTATTTTTTGTGTTTTTGTATTGTTTTTGGGTACTTTTTACTCATTATAATTTTTTTTTTAGGAAAGTGCAAGTCCATCTGATGATTTACCTATTGGGACAGACAAACAAGGGAATATTGTATTAAAGATTCAAGCAAAACCTGGTGCTAAAGTGAATGGAATTACAGGTATGTTCAAAGAAATTATTTTAGAATGCCCCTGTTTATGTGCATGACTTGAGTAATGGTGTTTTTGACGTAGGCATGGACTCGGAAGGAGTTGGAGTGCAAATTAGTGCTCCGCCTGTCGAAGGAGAAGCGAATAGTGAACTTGTTAAGTACATAGCGTCAGTGCTGGGGTTAAGAAAATCAGACGTTTCTTTAGATAGGGTAAGTGATTTTTCTTTTTTTTGCTTTTCATTTACTAGTATCTAGTTAAGAAGTTAAAATTGTAATAATTCTATGATTCTGTAGGGTTCTCGTTCAAGGCAAAAGACATTGGTTGTAACTGGAAGTTGTATTACAAAGGAAGATGTTCTCAACAAGTTAAAAATGGAGATTGACAGAAATTGAGTACTTTGTTGAAATGAATTGAAATAACCCAGGGTATTTGAACCATAAGAAGGTAAACATTTTAAGTATTTATTACAATATATATAATTTTAATTCTTTATTTTATTTACTACGATATTGGTATTTCAATTCTTGTTTCAAAATATCTGAGAAGTTATTAGTCTCTTGGAATTAATTAAGTTATATTTTGTAAATTTTCTCCTGTGTTCACGGGCTACTTTTAAAGTTCAATTTTAAAATTTAGTAGCCTTTTTTATGCAGTTTGAATTTGTGATATGTAATGTGTTAATTTGTTAAATTGTGATGTATAATGTGTTCAATTTACAGGAAATTCTGTCATTGTTATATTATGTCAATCCCTGATTCATGTCTTATACTTAACATTGTTTTCAATGATATGCTAAAATATTTACAGTATTATATGCAATAAACAGAGTTGCGCTTGTCCTTGTTTTTGATACTATATTAATATAACTCCAGAAAAAAAATAATTAAAAAACACCCTTAAAAATAATTAGTTGATTATAAATAATTGATACTTCTCCTTTATCAATATTTTCTTTATCTTTTTATTATTAATTTTGAAATTTAATTTGAAATTGTGTTGATATTGGTATCATTAACTTCTTTTAAGAACATATTTAAGTAACTAATTCATTATTTGATTAAATGTTTCTCAGGGTTTATCTAATGTTCTCTTGACTAAAGAGGTCAATCAATATTTTTGAGGTCTTGTTTGATGGAAATTAAATCCACTCATTGAAAATCAAATATATGTCTAGTAATAATGATTAACAAGTTCAGCAAATTATAGCTGGTAAGGGTGAGTGGGAGTGGATCATTGTTTAATAAGTATTGAATGGATTTTCAAAATCATATGATATTTTTCTTTAAAAAGTTTCACACAGTTCTAAAAATTGTATGTTTTTTTTGTAAATGTTAATTTGGATAAGTACTAAAATACAAACACTAAATATATTGCTATAATTTGTTATTTTCTTTTGTTGCTGCAATACAATTGAGGTAAAAATATTGTTTCATTACAATTATTAATCCATTTAATTTTTGGGAGATTGTAATGTTAAAATACCAATATGGATGTTTGTCTACTTAAGGTGTTTATTATTATTATTTTGGCAAAGTTAAAATTATTTTGTTTTGGCTTTTTCTACCTGAATTTGGCTAACGTCTCTACCTCGTGGGGTACATAGTACACCTGCAAGGCTCCCTCAGAGCTGGGGTCGGCAGAACGTGACACCTTCCATTAGAACACACATTACATACAAGAAAGGAGACTAATAGTGATACTGAAGGTCAGATTCTACCATCCAACCTTTCAGTCCGATGCTCTGAGTTGGCTAGCCTCCCAGAACATCTAGTGAAATCGTGTTTGAAATCTCAAACAAAACTTCTGAAAACTGAATTAAAATTTAGATTTGGTCATGATGTGTGTGTAGTAATTATTTTCTTGTTCCTAATGTGTATGTATTTTCTCTATATAAAATACTACTATAAAATTTTTAATTAAGTCTTGTCACTATATTCTTATATAATGTAAAATAAATTTATTAATTTTATTGATTAATTCTAAAATACCTAGATTAGAATCACTCATTGGTTTTTTTATAATATCATAAGTTTTCTTTTCAGAGCTATGAAATGAAATGAGAATGTGTCTGAAAGGAATGTAAAGGAAGACACAGAAAAGTGAATGAAGGTAAGAAATCTCTCCTGTGTGTTTACTTGCAGTTTATCATAGGTGTTGAAGGAAGTTATTTTGTATTTACTCATATCTAATAATATGCACTTTTTATGGGATTAAAAACAACTGATGTTACTAACTTATTCTGTTTGATGTTTTTAATGAAAACATTTAGAGTGGTCTGTGTACACATGTTTGTACAGTAAAACGTGCTCAATACGGAACATGTATGGTATCATATTCACTTTCGTTCTAGAAGCCACCTCCACAGATTCTAAGAGGCATTGTACTTAGCAGCCTCACTGATAATGTGTCTGTTCTTGCAGTTTTTTGAAAACAGGAAATTCATGTGATTTTGACATCTTTCATATGAAACTATTTCTTTACATAATAATAGCAGGATGGTCACTTTTAGGAGAACCAGGAAAAGTCGTTGGATAACTGTTAGACATCAGGTAAATTTTTGGAGACCATTTTAAAATAATTAAAGATGTTGTCATTGCCAACAATATTTTTTAATGCAATAGCAGCTTTCGATGGCTAAGCCATCGAAAGTTGCTATTGCATTAAAAAATATTGTTGGCAATGACATCTTTAATTATTTTAAAAATGCCAAAGATATCACACCACAACTCCTATGACCATTTTAAAACTAGGTATTCTAGTTATCCTCTGAAATGGTTCAGTGATTTGAGTGCAACAAACACGTCAGTAAAAATGAAGTCATATTTGACAATTTGCAAATGTTTTTGTTGAAAAGAGTGAAATGAAATCACCCAGATGCAAAGCAAATCAATTCACCTCCTCCAGTATGTGATAAAGGAGAAAAAATTGTGGTTGTTGATCCTCCAGGAAGATCATCAAACTCCTTCCTAATTTCCTCCTTGTAGTACTTAATAGAGTAAACAGCACATTGTGGCAATTAAGTATAATATTCTTATTTATTTCTTATTTGTTTAAAAAAATAATGTATACTTTGTATACCTTTCAATGTGCATGGTGGAACCCAACATACAAAAGTTATTCTTATCAACTTATGAATACTGTATTTCCTCAAATGTAGGTCTCCCTCACATATAAGTCCTTTCTTAATTTTTTGGATGAAATCTTTGGAAAACTTTGATATACTATATTTTGTACAATATTTGGTGCAATAATGCTGTTAAAAACTGCTAATTCTATGCAATTTTCATTGTCTGCAGGTCCTAAAAAAATTGCAGGGGCCATGTTGAAAATAAAAATGTCTCTCCATTTATAACATTGTTTAAAAAATAAAAGGCAAGGTTTGAAAAATGATTTGGCTTCATTTGAAGATACTCATGTTTTACCTCCATCTCAATTTTCTGGAAAAAACGGGGTCTTAATTTCAAGAAAGTACAGTAATGTAGTATAGTGGGAAACATTTCTGTGAATGTAGATTAAAGAGGAAGTCTAGTCTCTCATGCCTTTCCTGTAAAATTAAGGCATTACATTTTTAATGTTTGTAATTAAATTTTTATATTGTCATTATAAAAATTCATGTTCTAAAACTATTAATGAAACAGCACTGCAAAATATCTGGGAGAATTGTTTCCTGCAAGCCTAAGACTGATCTTAAGTTCTAGGGAATAAACTCTAAGAAAGGGGAAAGGTCAATTAATACAGTAAAACTTGTTCAATGCGGAATCTCAAGTGTATTTTTCTTGTTAGAGAAGATTTCGCATTATGCAATGTAATAGTGTGGAATTCATGTTTGGTAGAAATGCGATTTATGTTCGCATTAGAGAGATTTCCACATTATACACATTACACATTGAGCAAGTTTTAGCATTGAGCAAAATAATATTTTACTTAATCATATAATACTTGCTTAAGTTCTAAAATCTCTTATGTTATGCAAGAATTGTATTGGATACAAGAAGAAAAAAATATCATTGTCTGATCGTATCTCAATAATTTTCAATTCGCCACTAGTAATTGCCCAGCTCTATCCCATCCTGCTCCTCTCCATTCTCCCTGCCAACTTCCTAGTCCAAGTATTTCTGGAAAAAAGAACCAACTTTTTATATGCAATTTTTCATACATTAAACATTTGGAAAATGAGTTCACAATAATTTTGATATGGGTGCAGTAGTCACTCAACAATGTCCTTTTGTTTGGAAAAACATCTACACAAATTTGATAACATTAGAATCTAAATATTAAATCTAGGGGGTAATGGTGTTGCAGGTGCCCAGTGGTTGACCTGCTGTAGTTCGGGAGGTTTTGGGTCAGAAAGTTGAGATGACTGTTGAGTCTTCTGTGGTACTTCTTGTTACAGTTGGTATGGTGAAATCATATGCAAGGTAGAATTTGATTCATATCAAGAGGCTTTAGAAACTGTATGGAGACTTTTGGATTGAAAACATCAAAATATTTCAATATTAGAGTCACTTGCTTTACCCGATAATTGGATTCCATATGTTGTTTCAAAATTATCTTTTATGTAAAGATCTTATTTTGCAGTGACAGGTGTGACTTCTAAACCAATTGCCAGTGCAATCCTTTTAATTTCAGGTGTGGTTGGCTCCTCTTCTTTTGTCCAGTTGACCAGGATTATCCAGTTGACCATTTATTGGCCAACTATTTAATGTCATTTCAAGATCTTTTGCTGTGCCATTTTTAGGCACTTCAGTATTAATTATTTTAATTTAACGGCAAGTTTCTCTTCTGAGGGTAAAAGTTGTAAGTACACATTTCGATTCATTAATTGTAATTCATAAAAAAAATTCATTTCTTGAAGCTGTCCATTTTGTGTAAGTGCTCTTGGAGTATGTTGAAGGCTTTGTACAGGTCTGCATAGATTGCTGAAGCAGCAGGATTGTCCGGGAACCTTGGCTGTTGTTATATTGTTAAATGTGGATAGATTGGCAGAGTAGAGTAGATACAGAAGCGGACCCAAAACAATCCCTTGTGGTGGTCCTGATTAGATGAGAAAGAGTACAGACAATTTCTGGTTATATTCTACTTAAAATAATCTGGTATATAGTTTGAGCAATATGAAGTATGGGTATGGAAGAAATGCATTGATCTAGTACAGAAGATCCGCATATGAACCATGGTCATATGCTTGTTTTGGGGCAAGGAAGGTGGTATTGAAAAAACGTTTTGTTTTCTAGGGCTGTATTAATTAATTCCATTACTTTGCACTTGTTTGATGGTAGAATGGAGTCTGAAACCAGGGAAGGGTGAGCAATTTGTCAAGGAGGCAACTACTCACTCTGGAGAAACATGTACTTCCAAATCGAGCACAAATTGAAGACTTGTTAGATGAAACTAGAACTAAGAGTAATTCACGATTGGCTAGCTCTTCAAAACTCTGTCTATCTCCTTCTGAGTAAAGTGTAAATACTATTTTATCTGGATGCAAGATCACAAGAGGGGAAGCTAATACCTCATTACATTGAAGGGAACTTAAAATAAAAAAGCATTTCAGCATCAATGGATATTCCTACTAATTTGAATTTTTCTTGTGGGAAATTGTTTGAGAAATTTTTCACAGGTTAAGTTTATGAACATCTTGGAAGGGAGACAGAGAAATACATTCTTTTCATGAATCAAGAACTGCACAACATTTCATTTGATAAAGGAAAATGATTCATTGCCATTTTGATTCTCAGTGGGTACAATTTATTACCAGCTTTAAAAATTTTAGGGAAAATCAGTGAGATACGAGAAATAAAGTGGTTGTTACTGCCACGAGATTCAATTGAATGCAAACAATTTTGCATTATACATAATTTCATGGCTCGTCAAGACCAACTCGGGAAACTGTACCCATTTATAAATCTTATCAAAGCAAATTGCATCAGTATCTTTATGAATAATCAAATTTTGATGAGTCCATAGTGACATTTTGTGGGAGACAATAAAATAATTTATTCCCGCTATGCCAAAATGATAGTAAGAGTAAATGGTGTGCTTATTCTTAAAATAAACTATGTTTATTTGTTACCTATTTATTTATTTCTTTTAATCTTATTTTTTTCCTTTTATTTTTTATTTTTATATCTTCCTTTTCTCCCTTGTGATAGCTGAATTCAGGGTCATAGGACTGAAGAGATCACATAGCATCCATATGGTAATGCACTATGACTGTAAATTCATTAATTTTTTCCCAGTTTCCCCCCTCATTTTTACAGCCAAATAAAGAACCTGCCACAATATGGGGAAAAAATTACTGAAAATAGTTATGGTAACTAATGGGTTTAGGAATGTTACAGAACCACCATGACCAGCATCATCATGATAGTTTAACAAGATAGTCTCTGGATCATTGTTTATTATTTTCTCTGTTACTTGTTATACATGATTGGTTGTATCAAGGGACTGTGCTCAAAATAACTAAACATTGCTGATTGACTGAGGATGACCCCATGGGAGAATTCAGAGATTAGAAAATTTATGTGTATTTGGACATAAAGCTTGGCAGTTCTGTGGGGTGAATGCCATTACTGGATCTAACATAAGGTGAAATTCACATTTATCATAATCAAGTGTGAAATCTGTTTGTTTGTGTACATTTTTTGCATCCTTTCAGACTCTTGAAACTTCTGTTAACAAATACAGGGACAAAAGACAGATGAGATTTTGACATACTTTCAAGAGTGGAGCAGTGCGAGTTCTTTTGGAGATTAAATAAAATCATTTTTTTCTTTGAATAATTCCCAAGAATACAATTTGTTGTTTTTGGAATATGTATTTAACAAGTCTTAACAATTTACCAATGTGTTACACAAGATGTTACTTCTCACAGCAATTAATAACTGAAGACAAGGCTAACAATGATTATTTTTGTTTTTTGAATTATTTCCTGCCAAGAGCTCTTTGTTTTGATTTTCTTGATAGTACACTGTAGATGTTTTTGGATGTGAGTATTTTCTGAAGAAAATTATTTGATGCACCTCTGGCCAAAGTTAATGCGAAGGACCGGCCCAGCCTCCTCACTAGCTTGCCCGGTTCCTGTTGGTATGCCCAAGCGGGCTCTTTTTGGTCTTCTTGGGCTAGACCACGGCCACCTAGCGTAATCACGACCACGACCACGACCACCGAAGGTGTCCGTGGCATGACAAAGGGAAGAATTGACGCTGTTCGAGTCTGCGAGCGACCGGCCTATCTTCCTTCGCCGTCTCTGCGTACCCCCTTCCTTGAGAACTTCAAAATCTCCGTGGGGCGTCTAACATTGCGAGTACACTATCATTAGTATCCAAAGGATACTATGCAACCTAAAGGAACGTATCGCGACCCAAAGGAAGGGATGGTGATCTGGGGCCCGAAAGGACACAAACGTTTGAATTTAACCATGACCAAACCCTTGGTAACGTGACGTGCTATGGGGAGAAGTTAATTTGAAGTTACATTTATGTTCATTACAAGTTACATTTGCAACCACGGACGGAGGCTGCGCGGAGAGTTGCGAGGTATGCAGCCCGCGTTGAGTTGCGAGGGTGGCGGGGGTGGGAAAAGCCAACTCAGGTAATGTGACAGTCACAGTACAAAATTGCTCGCGTGGTGTGCGCCTTATTTCCAGATGATTCCTTCGATCTCTTCTCACCCCCGCCATCCTCGTAAGTCAGGCGCAGCCTCCGTCCATGGTTGCAAATAGAACAAAGACCGCCCACTGCTACTTGGTTGGTTCTCGTTTCCACTTCAGCTTCTGGGTCAGTGACTCCCATCTCGATCAGATTTTCGTCCAGTTTCCCTGATTCTAGACCAAAGGCTGAGATGGTCCCTTGTTTTGCTTCTGGACGTAAATGTAACTTCAAATTAACATCCCCCATAGCACGTCACATACAGTTTGTAACTATTTTTGACGTAAATGAATAAATAAATAAACTCTCTTCGAGAGCGAAGTTGTGTTTGGTAGTACCTCCTCAACGGTTGCCTCAACGGTGGCTTGACGTAATTGACGCTGCCCGGGAGCGCGAGCCATCAGCTGCCAGCCTACCTGTATTCGCCGTCGCCACCTTCCTCCTGCCACTCCATCTTCCTGATGGCGACCGTCTGAGTACAGGACTGCGTAACCTGCAGAGGGCATATAATATTGCAAGGGAATTGAATGCATTTTCATTAGTAATCAATCTACTTTTCTGCTTTCTCCTGTGCATACTGCCGAAGGTATTTTATCCCGATAATAACATTACCAATCTCTCGTCTCTTAAACTTGCATCCAGTTTCCAATCCCAGCCGCAGGGCCTCTGGCAGGTAAGTATTAGGGTTCGAGTCCCGACGGTAGCAGGGTTTTAGACACTCGCTAGAAAGCTAGGTCAAGTTCAGCCGTTGCCTGGAGGCGAGTTTCAGCAGCAGATTTGCTCTGACCATTTTCCACGTGTTTTTCGATCAACACTAGGCGAATGCCGGAGAAGTACCGTAACAAACGGGCTTCGGACCGCGCGTGATATTTCTTTCCCTTCCTTGTTTAATCCTCACCTCATACGTACACACATTTACATTTACATGCAATACACTACTCTTCGGGAGCTTGTCCCGGCTGGGTCGGTGGCCCGTTGGTGGGAAAAACGTAGCTAGCCGACGGGTAGGTCGCCATCGGAACTCATCTAGCAGGAAAGATTACCGCTACCTTCCGCGATAGTAACATGCATTACTCTGACGGGACTAAAGACCTTCATACTCTATCATGCCACAATACATAAAATATCCTCATAACACCACATCGCATGATCCTGAGCATTCTTAAATTTGCTTACATTGTCGTGAATCGACTACGGTTGAATAAAATAGCCATCCTCGAGGTGAGATTCGAACCCGCGCACCTTCGATCCGTGACCACCAAGTCGCCTGCCTTAAGGCGGCTCCACACATTCGGCATTCGCCGAGCAGCGAGCTACTGCTCGCCCAATCCGGAACAACTGATGTGTTCGGTGAATGTTCGCTCCTTTTGATGTGT